CCCCCCCCCCCGCAAGGCGCGAGACACACGGAAGGTAGGTACCGTTTCGGGCCGCGGGGAGTTCGAGCACCATTTGCGTCGTGGACGACGAGTTTCGAGAGTAACGCCTTGGGCAACGGACGCGCGCACGCGCGCCGTCCGTGCCCGAGACCGCCGCCAAAGCTCCACATGCGAGTCAAACGCGCAGAAAAAAATCACAGGCATCGCCGACTTGATGCCCAAAGGCAATCGCCTCCATGACATCCATGTCGCATCGCAAGGCCTCCCTCACTGCCCGCCCAACCGGGGGGACCCGACGCGCGATGCAAATCCACGTAATGCGTATGTGTGATACGTCCAAGCGGGGGGGGGGGGGGGGCTCGGGGGCGCGCGGGGCGAGATATACGTAATCCGTAAACGTGACCGTGGTACGTAAGTCGCGTAAGGCACCCGCCGCGCGGGCCATTGTACCATCCCCCGGGCAAAGCTTGCGGTGAAAAAGACGTATGCGTAATGCGGATACGTGATACGTCGAAGACGCCCCGCCCCCCCGCGGGCCGCGGCGCACCGGCTGAGATCCATAATCCGTATACGTGACACACGTGGTACGTATGAGGCAACCACAGGGCCATCGCACCGTCACGCACGCGATGATTACGTGTATGTATTGACGTCTTCTATTTTTTTGAAGGGGGAGGCGTTCGACGGGCTGCGTAATGCGACGCATTTGGACTGGCAAGTGACGTACACGCACCGTGGTTACGTATTCCCGAAAGGGCGTGATGTGATGCGTATGCATATGGGCCTCCGTGCATATGCGTAGCAGTACTGACCACGGTTGAGCACCCGAGCTTATGGGACGTTTTTTTGTTATTTATTGCGCGACCGTAGTGGCCGGGGCCTCCGAAGCCAGCCACGAGGAAGGGCCGACTTACGGCTTTAGGGTTAGTATAGCGGGCCGAGAAGGCCGCCCACACCCACGAGGATGGTCGGGCGCGTGCCTCCCCGACTCGGACTGCCGCCTCAGAGGGCGGACATGCTTCCTCTCGCCCTCTCACCCGCGGATGATGGCCGAGTCCGCGGCCTCACCGCACCACCACGCACGCCCTTTGCAGCGGTGCAACTGTCGTCGACTTCGAAGGAATAATAGCGTACTTGCCCTCGATGTTGACCCTCCCCCACCACCACTCTCCCCGGACGACGCCGCTCTCACACCTGCTATGGTCTCTCTCTCGATACACAACACGCTCGCCGACTTGGCAACAAGGGTTGACTCCATCGCGCTAAGCGACGAACCTGCCCCCGCCCCTCGGGGCGGGGGGCCCCGCCCCCCCGGGGGGCCCTTTGGGGCCCCTCCAGGGGGCGAACCCTCCGGGGAGGCCGGCTTTCCCCGTGCCGGTTCTCCCCAACCAACCCCGCCGGCAGCGCGAGCTGCCGGCCACATTGAGCGGTTCGTCCGCGTCGCGCACCCGTCCCAACCGGGGGCCGCAGACTGGTTCTGCGCGCCAACGGCTGGTGACGCTGTGTTGCCCTTGAGCTAGTCCTTCCCCGGTCGCCTAGCCTCTGCGCTGTCTGGCGAACGCCTGTATGCCATGCGCGCGGACCACGCTTGCGTGGATACGTGGCTGGCAGGCTGACCCGTGTGCGGGGTAATCCCGCGCACGGGGAAGCTTCACGGGTTCGAGTCGTCAAACAT